CCTGCTTCGGCAGGAGGGTTGGACTGGGTGACCCACAGAGGTCCCTGCCAACCCCAACCATTCTGTGATTCTGTGATTCTGTGATTCTGTGATTCTGTCCCAAAGCCAGGTGGCACCAGGCTCCAGGCCGCAAGGACCGGGTGGGATGGAGAAGACGCAGTCTGTTCCTGTCTAGTCTTCCCAGGAGACAAAGCTTCTGGGAAAGCACTGTTCAGTGTCACTAAAGCACGACAGTACATTAGGGGCACAATCACAGTGTGAACAAATAATAACAGTAATACAAAATTGCTGTGGATAACGTCTGCGTAGCGCGTCTCATTAACTGGTGGGATCCTGTGCCTCAAGGTGGTATTGAGACCACGAATCCAGCAGAAATCCGTAGTGGATTAAACCTCTAAATAGATAATGAGAACATACAGAGAGCTACTCTAGACAAAATAAACATTTACAAGGGATACAAACTCTCCTACTTAGAGGCATAAGCCACTAGACGATGAGGATTAAAGAGAAGTGTCCGCTTTGGGCAAGCTGCTCCGGGAGCCCGTCCCAGCCATGGGCAGGTGAGGACGGTGGGCTGCTCCCAGGACCCCGCGGCTTCCCACCATGGATGCCACACGATGCTGTGGATCTCCTGCCTACTCACAACAGGTCCAGGAACATTTACCAACAGTCACCAATTCTACACTGGGTTACCCGCCTTGCCTCCTTCATCCCCGGTCTGCTGGAGGAGGAGGGGAGCCGGGCGGCCGGCACGGGGCACGGGTGGACAGGGGTGGCTGAGCCGGGGGCCGGGAGCAGGCTGCGCCGGGGCTGCGGTGGTGAGACCGTGGTCACAGGCGGGAGGAGGAACGTGGAGGGCGATTCCTCCCCTCCCTGCCCTGTGACCGGGAAGTTGTCCGTACGGCTCCCTCCATGCTCCGAGGGGGATTCACGGCTCTGCCATTTCGTGGCGATTGGAGCCTAGAGCAGAGCTGTCCCACCTGTGCACTGCATGGACAGCTGGCATCACCGCTGTCCAGAGAGGGACCTGTTCTCCTCCTGTTAACACCTTAGTGACTCCGTCTCTGCTCACGTTATAGAACCACAGAATCATAGGGTCATTAAGGTTGGAAAAGATGTCTAAGATGATCAAGGCGACCTGAGGAAGCCATGTGCTTGCCCACTGATCTGAGCCACATTCTTCTGCGCTGATACGGCATCAGACCACGCTTTTCCTGTAGAATCACAGAGTGATTCGGGTTGGAAGAGACCTTAAAGATCATAGAATAATAGAATCACTAAGGTTGAAAAGATCTCTAAGATCATCAAGACCAACCGTCAATCCATCACCCCGATGCCTGCTAAGCAATGTCCTGAAGTGCCACATCCACACGGTTTTTGCACCCCTCCAGGGATGGGGACTCCACCACTGCCCTGGGCAGCCTGGGCCAACACCTGACTGCTCTCTCTCAGTGAAGACATTTTTCCCAATATCCAATCTAAACCTCTCCTGATGCAACCTGAGCCCCCCTCTCCCGTGTTCCTGGGGAGAAGAGACCAACCCCCGCCTCACCATAACCTCCTTCCAGGTAGCTCCCTTCAGCCTCCTCTTCTCCATCTCCCCTCAGCACTGGGAGAGACGGAGAGGAGACAAGCACAGAGCGAGCAGCTGAACCCGTAGAGCTCCCGCTTCCAGCTGGGGCACGGCGGGGAGCGGGGCGGCCGCAGGCGTGCGCAGAAGCAGAGGGGGACAATCCCCAGCGCCGCGGCGAGGGACGGGTCTGCTCACAGCAGCACACGTGGCGGCGGCAGCAACAAGCACGCAACAAAACACCACGTACGTCTTCCCGTGTATACATTTCTCCCATGTCTCTAAGCACTTAACTCACACAATTGCTTAATTAGGAGCAGAAATTCATGGAACGATTAAAAATCTTATCAAGGAAGCACATTTGTAGCAGAGGCGCAGAAAACTACAATGAAGCAGCATCAGGTTATGAAACAAATCCGCGAGACCCGGTAGAACAACGTGTGTCCCTGCTCGGGCACGGCGATTCGAGTCACTTCAGAACGAGCCAGGACGTGCCAACGGCACCAGAGCAGCTCCACTGCCCGCTTCTGGGCCAGCTCCTCGGGGACTGCGGTGCTTTTCCCAGCAAGGCTCTGAAACTGGTCCAGCGAAGGACAGGAGTCAAAGGAGGATTGAGAAGGTATTTTGGATGCTAGTTAGCAAATTCTCACTTAAATGAGAAGGAGAACCTACAGGAATTGCAGCTGACCTTCACACTAGCTGGAGCAGAAGGTTGTTATTAAAGGAACCAGCGAGGGGAACGTGCACTTACTCAATATAATGGGTCACACAAGCCTATGTGTAGTTAAAAATAAAATCTATTACCCGGGAAAATCAGCTCAGACGACTCTACATCACCGAATCCTCACCGCATCTCCTCTGGCTGAGCAGTGCCAAGACTCACTTTTCCATCCCACCCTGGCAGCTGCTCCTGAACAGCTGGAAAATCCCCCAAAATGAAGGAAGAGCAAGTATTCCCCTTCACTGGGGAAGAGACTGGGGCTCACAGCCAGAATTTCAGAGAAAGGTGCTCTGAAAGAAGGCAGTAGGTTCCCACAAGGCTACTGAATGTAACCTTATAAATGCCTACAAATATCTGCAGGGTGGGTGTCAGGAGGATGGGGCCAAGCTCTTTTCAGTGGTGCCCCGTGACAGGACAAGGGGCAATGGGCACAAACTGAAGCAGAGGAAGTTCCGTCTGAACATGAGGAAGAACTTCTTCCCTCTGAGGGTGATGGAGCCCTGGAACAGGCTGCCCAGGGAGGTTGTGGAGTCTCCTTCTCTGGAGATATTCCAGACCCGCCTGGACAAGGTCCTGTGCAGCCTGCTGTGGGTGACCCTGCTTCAGCAGGGGTTTGGGCTGGATGACCCACAGAGGGCCCTTCCAACCCCTACTATTCTGTGATTCTGTGATTCTGTGAATGCCTCTAAACCACCATCTTCCCCAGGAATGAAGCACCCAATGCACCCAGGCTTTCAGATGTTGGCTCTCCGCAGGAAGATGCCACCGGACCGAGGAGGGCTCCAGGCACTGGTGAAGAGCCAGCCCAGCAGGGACGGGGCGGGAGCGAGGGGGACCACCGGCGTCGGCCCCCCGGGCAGGGACACGGCCAGCCGAGCCCGCTGCTCCCCACACTTCCAGGCGTGATCGCAGCTTGCGGCCATGCCGAAGAGTCCACTCAAGTTCAAGCCGAGCAGCCAGCAACACCACCGAAGTCAGGCAGGCCCGGCGGGAGGACGGAAGAAACGGACCCATAACGGTGTCTGTATGCCCGTGCGTCCGCGAGAAACGGCGCGAAACACGGACCAAACCTCACGGTCTTTTCAAACAAGACTTGCTTTCAGGTGCTCACTTTTTATTCTCACTTCTCACAAACCGCACCTGGTACCCTTGCAGCAACTCTTCCTGAGAACGCATTTTACGGCTAAAGACGGGTTTCTGCACAACATACGATCTAACTTCCGTAGCCAGTTTCTAACTCTGATAAACACATAAGATGCCTGATTTTTTCTTCACTCCTTAGCGACCTAGTAGAACTCAATTTGCAGAACATAATCAAAGCTGGTAACAAAGCCTAACCTCAGAAGAGCCTAGACATCAAATCACTGCCACCAAATCCCACTTTCCTATTATGAGTATTTTTTCCTAAATCACCACCTCCTGGAGCCATGTGATTACACATGAAATACCACTTTGGGGCATTTTCCTCAGTAACTTTCTGACTTTGATGGCTCTGAAGAGCTGGCTCATATGACCCGAAGGGCTTGGAAATAGGGAAAAGAAAGAGAATCCTGCAGTTATCACCACTTTTCGAATCATGTGATACTTAGGGGCCAGAGTCATGACTTTTAACATGCGTATTCAGCCCTCAAAGTACCACCTTCCCTCATATGTCATGTCCAGACCACCGACTGCAAAGTCTGGGGACAAATCCCAGCAGTTCTCTCAAGCTGAAAGAAATGTGCTGATTTCCAGCAGTACCCGACCTCCGGCGCCCGGGCAGGAGCGAGCCCCGCTCGGTGCTCCCACCACCGCGCCCCGACCGCTGCTCGCTGCCAGCCCCCTGACGTCGCCGTCCCAGCGCGGGACCAACAGTGATGGAGGGTTGCACCGACAACATTGTGCTCCTGCAGACCCTGCTCTGCCCACCCCGGTCCTGCTGCCCACACAGGCGAGCCGCTGGCCCGTGGACAAGGCAGTGTCCCATGGAGTTTTGCGCAGAGAAGTGTTGAGGACAGGACATGTCCAGCCCCTGAGTGCCAGCAAACTGGGACAGCACGGAGGGACCCAGTGTGCTCGGAGAAAACAGGCGGGTTGGAGCAAATCCTGTGTCGACTGGGAAGTGCCTGGCACAGTCCGAAACGGAGCGGTCCCCAGGCTCCAGAGCAGGGAGGCTGAGGGCTCTTCCAGCATCCCAGTGCAAACGCTTTGCTTTAGAGGCTGGGTCACCTCCGGCGCTGGGGAGCCTGGTCTCCCACGCTTCGGACCGCTCCACACCTCCCATTCCCCGTCATCGCAGAGCATCCGCAGACTGCCACGCTCTCCTCCTGACACGCTGTCTTTTCCCGTTCCTTCCATCTTCCTCCCCCCTCCCGTTTTGAAGACTCACCAGGCACCATTCCTGTCAGCGCCGGAGCGGAGTAGCTGCCCTGTCCGGCGGGAGGGACGTGCGGAGGGTATCCTGGGAGGGTCGTGCTTGCCAGCTCGCGACCTGAGGAATCAAACCAACAAATCACCGCGTGAGCATCGCGACGAGCGGACACGGTTTTACATCTCCCCGAGCGCCCGGAACACAGCCACGCATTTGTCATCACGGCTCTGCGAGGACCAGCGTGGGATTTCCAGCCTGGCAGGGAGGGCAGGCACTCATTTGACTGAGCATTCTTCCCTCC